CAGACTTTTCCGAGATCGACATTATCAACCTCTAATGAGGCCTCGTGTTTTTATATAATGAACATATGCATATACCCAGCGGGCGTTAAGGGGGGACGGAACTTAGCATTAGAAGTGAAAAGCAACTAGCAAGAGTCACACGTGGAATACAGCCAGTTCAATTCGCATCTCATCACTCGCTCTCAATGAACTCATACTAAACGACTCAAACTAAGATGGTCAATGAACTGTGAAAGAAAGCCGAAGGTTTGGCACAAGGTCTGTCAGCTTATAAATCATTGAGACCAATGACGTGAGAGACTTGACGAAGATTTGGAGACGGGACCTTCATCCGACGCGCGAGCGCCATCCCCCGCACGAGTGTGCAGCCCATGTTCCGACCTGTACCGCAACACTTCTTTCCCTATTTTCCCCCAACATCTCAGGTTCATCGACCACCTTTCAGATATAATCAAACAACGAGCAAGCACCGGTTCATCACACGTGACAATATGACCAAGTCAGGCAAAGCCAAGGCCGTCGTGAACGGAACCACCGTCGCGGAGACGACCGAGTGGGAGGAGGTGGAGGGGAACGTGTACTTCCCGCCCTCGGCGGTCAAGTCGGACATCCTGGAGAAGACCTCGCACACGACGTTTTGCCCGTGGAAGGGGACTGCGGAGTACTACTCGCTCAAAGTCGGAGGTGAGTATCAACCATTGTGGGCGCAGGCGTTATATGGTTTGGTTGGTTGCTAATGTTATTATTTAGGTGACAAGCTTGAGAATGCGGCGTGGTATTATCCCACGCCTAAGGACGCTGCGAGCGAGATTAAGGACCATGTTGCCTTTTGTGAGTATCGAGTGTTGCGGTTCGTGAAGGATAGTCTTGATGCTAATGAACGTATAGACAAGAGCAAGGTCACGGTTTCTGTTGAGTAGGGGGCTAGAAGCCGTCACGAGCTTAGGACTTGATATTTTGCGCACTCGTCTGTTGCTTTGTCAAAGTGTATGAGTACTGCAACTTTGAGGTATCACAGAATTCATCACCTGCAAACTCCGAGTGTTGCAATCAAGAACTTTTCTAGATCATCCAGTAGACCGGGGTATTCCTCTACATAAGTCATGACGCAAGGAAACTCATACCGGCCGTCTAGACCTCCACAATTTCGTTATCGTCGTCTTCAATCTCCTCCACCTTGGAGCCGTTCGTCAACTGCTTCTGCTCTTCCTCGCCTTCTTCAGGGGCTTCATCGCTCATGATAACCTGTACCAGACGGTCGCAAGTGTCCTTGACACCCTCGTCTTCCACGCGCAGATGCGTTTCTCGGATGATGGGGTACACCTTCACCCTCCTCATCAGGTCACGAGCTTCGCGCGTGGTGGTGAGAAGCAATAAGGTCTCGATGTGGGTCTGAATGATCCTCGGGTCTGAGTCGCGCTTCTTGTCAGGGGGAAGAAGTTGCAAATCGGGCAGCATGCCCAGCATGTCTTCGTCGTCGTACTCTTCATTACCGGTGATCGGGAGCAGAATGTAAGGCAGGATGTCGACCTCGTCCTCATCAAGGAAGGTGGGGTGGAACTGGATCTCGAAGGCGACGTTCTTGATGGTGCTCGCCACGCCCTTGCGACGGATCTCAGAGGCATGCTCTGTGAAGACCTTGAGCTTGGTGATGGGGATGACCTCGTCATAGTCCTGACGGGTAACGAAGTGCTGGCGGACCTCGGCGTGTTTGGTGAGGTCGGCGAAGAGGTAAGCGAGGTAGTCATAATCCGCATCCTTGTTGTAGCCCTTCTCCTTGACAAAAAGATCAATGAGCTGGTTAAGTACAAGGTCGTTCGACTTGAGCTCCTCGGGTGGCGTCTGCTTTCTGGTGACGATGGTCTTGAGACCGTCATACTTTGCTAGGTTGGCCAAGAGCATGGCCATCAGGTTTGCGTTTGGCTCGTTGGGCTTCACTATCAGATCCGCAACTTCTCCGATGAACTTGTCATCTTTGGCAACATTTTCCAAGACGTCCTTCTCTGCCGTCAGGTTGACGAGAATTGTGAGGACATGTTCTGCGATTTTCTGAAAATGAATGAGTATTCGTACAGAGCCGACATTGAAAGGCCAGGTTCTGGCTTACAGGGTGGTCTTTGACTAGGAACTTGAGGTGCTTGATTGGCGTCAAGCCCTCAGTCTTGAAAATCGCCGGTTGCGCTTGCGAGTAGCCGACAAGATTCTCGACGGCCAGTTTCCTAATTTGCGGGTTGGGATGGGCGATGAAGCCCACGAGCTGTTGCGAATAAGCTGAGTCCTTCAGACGTGAGGATTGGTCTCATACCTCCTCTAGTTCTGTCGGCATTTTGGAGATTTTTTTTGGTGTAGATTTCTGCGAAATGGAGGAGGCTTCTCACAGGAATACCAACTTTTAAATGCTGTTCCAAGGAAATTGTCTCGCCTTCGTTGTAAGACAGACCGGGAGAGTCACTCGCAGAAGCTTTTTGGTGGGGTGTTGTGGCGGGGCACTCGTTATGGCTCGCCGATGAAGTCAAAGCCCAGGGGATTGATTGGTCTGAAGACCGCCATGACCCACTGTAAGCCGGTCCAGGGTTCTGGGCTAATCAGGCGCGGGGCAATCGATAAGAAAATCAAAAATTTCCAGGCTCACAGAGAAAAAAAAAAAAGAGGCACTGCCAATCCCGCCCCGTCGCTCTCCGCCACGACTGTTCGAGTCCAGATTTGATCAAAATGGGCAAGGCGACGACCCCGACCGACCGCCAATCGCGCAGGCACAACCCTCTCCAGGATGACATCCTGGCTACGGGTCCTTTGAAGAGCAAGGTTCCCAAGAAGAAGAAGGGCAAGGACGGCGACGAGGACAATGGCGACCACTTCGTCGATGCGACTCGCAGTCGCACCATTCTGAGGCTAGGCCGAGAGCTTGCGGACGAAGATGAGCCTGCGAAGCCCGAAGCCTCTGCGAAACCGGGTGTTGATCTCTTCGGCATCGAGTCAAGATACGGCGTCGATGTTGGTGGCGACGAGCAGACATACGAGGAGGAGGAGGCCTGGGGCGAGGACGACGAGGTCGTGGAGGAGATTGAAATTGATCCGGAGGACCTTGAGACCTACCGCAAATTCTTGCCCGAGGCCGAGGAGGATCCTGCGGACATGTTGAACGATGCCGGTTGGGGAAGCAAGGGCGGTGACGAGGATATGGCTGGTGGCGGCACCAACCTTACCGAGCTCATCCTCGAGAAGATTGCGGCGCATGAGGCTGCCGAGGCCAGGAAAGCAGCGGGCGTGCCCGTGGATGACGTCGACTACCAGCTTCCCCCCAAGGTCATCGATGTGTATACGAAGTGAGTGTTTCGACTTCCCAGCCCCGGAGCTCGTCGCTAACAGGTCCCAGGATCGGCCAGATTCTGTCGCGATACAAGAGTGGCCCCCTGCCGAAGCCTTTCAAGATCCTGCCGACCCTGCCGCACTGGGAGGACATCGTTGAGGTCACTGAACCCCAGAAGTGGACGCCGAACGCAGTGTACCAGGCGACGAGGATATTCTCTGCTTCCAAGCCGGCAGTTTGCCAGAAGTTCATGGAGATTGTTGTTCTCGACAAGGTCCGCGAGGACATTTACGAGAACAAGAAGCTAAATGTGCACTTGTTCAACGCTCTGAAGAAGAGTTTGTATAAGCCTAGGGCGTTCTTTCTGGGTTTCTTGTTCCCGCTCCTGTCTAGCGGCTGCACCATTCGCGAGGCCCATATTGTTTCTGCTGTGCTCGCCCGAGTTTCGGTGCCGGTGCTCCATTCTGCAGCTGCTTTGAAGGGAATCACCGAAATGTGTGTTAAATTCTCTGCAAGAACCGTTCGAAACTGTACTGACATAGTCTTAGTGCCGCTCAAGAAGCCTCTGCTGGAACCGAGGGTGGTGGATCTGCCAATATCTTCATCAAGACCCTGCTGGAGAAGAAGTACGCTCTGCCGTACCAGGTTATTGATTCGCTCGTTTTCCACTTCATGAGATTCAGGAGTGTTGATCCTGCTTCCATCAAGGAAGGCCAGTCCTTCTCTGGAGATATGGTCAGGTCACTTCCTGTGGTTTTCCACCAGAGTTTGCTGGCATTTGCCCAGAGATACAAGAATGACCTGAGCGAGGATCAACGCGAGGCACTTCTCGATCTGTTGTTGTCGCACGGCCACGCCGCTATTGCCCCTGAGATTAGGAGAGAACTGCTTGCGGGCAGAGGAAAAGGTGTGGCGATTGAGCAGAACGCTCCTTTTGACGGCGACGACACGATGCTTGTGGATTAGCGAACTAAAAAATGGGAATGGGAGTTGGAGCTTGGCCAGCCCCAGGGCATTACAAGGCGTTAGCAGGTTGATTTGATACCCGCAATCCTAATCGAACGGATTATGAGAAGCTGCGTTGTTTCAAGTGTGTATGATGACTCTTTCTACATGTGCTCTTCTCAGGCAATTACTGGAGGAAGCGTGTTAGCTGCTTCCCGATGCAGCTCGGCAAGGGCGAGGTAGGCGCGAACCATACTGGCCCTGCTCAAAAGGCGCCTTCATCCAGAGCCATCTGCACGATATGAAGAGGTTCTTCAGCTTTCTAAACTCCATCATCTCTGCCACCTATGCATTCTTTTCGTCCCAAAACCCCGCGCGCCGATGTATCTGTAGCCTCTGCAGTATCCTTTCGCCTCATCCGTTTCTTCCTATCAGCCCAGCATCCATCCCTTGACCCTATATCATGTTCGGCGCCTGGGAATATGACAGCGTTTACGGGACGATGACACGTCGAGGTTCAGGATCCGATCCTCCTCTAGGCGCTGAGCCTTCTTCAATGTCCCTAAGATCCTGCAGGCGAACGTAAGGAGTTGCCCGAGCGATTGCAACCAATCACAGCTAACCAGTTCTATAGTTCTTCGTCGCAAACATTCCCTGAAACCCAGAGAGAGACCCAACGACTATCATTTAAAACAGCACTTCGACTTATAATACCTGACGGATCCATGGACACACCAGCCGACAGTTGGGATGGCTCAAGCACGCCGAAGCCAACCTTGGCAGATGGATACTTCGGGAAACAGGCAATGCCAGGCTCACCAGCCACACCACACTCAATGAATCGATCGACGCCCACATCAACGGCTTCCCAACAGTCACCAGGAAACTACTTGACAACGCCGCAGCGAGGGTCTAACTTCGATCCCCCCAGACCACCCAAAGAAGGATTCGAATAGGTGTGGTTTCCAGAAGGGTATTGGGCGGAGCGAGAAGTCCGGCATGTATCCCGCAAGACCAGCGGCAACTTCTGGAAACGCTCGAACAAATCGTCCAAAGCTCGATACTCTGGGACCAGTGAGCCTTCGAACTCTGAAGCGGAACCTTCACCTTTGGCAGTTATCAATCACGGGCCTTTGAGTCCGTCATCAGAAGAAGCTCTCGTGCTGTCTTTGCAAAATCCCCGCGTCCAAAGCCACATTTGTGACCATCTGCCCAGCATCTCTTCAACTATGAATATCTCTCAGACACACACCGAAAAAATCGAGGTGAACGTGAAGAACAATGGATCGGACACGCCCCGCAGCTGGAAGTCCATAGGTACGTGCAGTACCAAAAGTCGCGGGGAATCTGCAAAGTTCAGCTTATTCAAGAGTAAGCCTGTGAGTCGCAGGCACTTATATCCTTGATGTTTACGTATCTGACTTGCAGTAGAAGCCAGCTCCCGAGGAGCCGAGTGCACCACCTCACCCTCATCAAATTTCCGCAGCTTTGAAGAAGGTTGGAAGCTCGTCAGGTCTCAAGTCATTGAACTGGGGGTCCACCAAGGACGCCCCAAACAGCTCCAAATCCGGACAACGGTGGTTCGGAAAGTCACCTTGGCATCGCAGAGATTCCAATGACACTCTCAGCAGCGTGACAAGTTCAGTTCGAGAGGTCTTGGCTGGCAGAACACCAGCTACCACCCCCGATCCCGAAACCTTTCTTCGTGAGTCAAGCCGCCCTGTGATTTCAGTACTGTGTAGCTAACGCCAGAATGCAGACCAATTAGACTACACCATGACCCCTTATCCAGCCGGAGTAGGTTCTCTCGATACTCGCTCATAGCTTCGTGATTCTGACCTTTGGCGCAGGAAGCAACGAGGGTCAAGACGCCACCTCTGCACCAAGACACCGCTGATGGGAGACCCAGAGGTTTCTTCGGGAATGTGATACCACCGGGAGGAGACGGTGACAGCTAGCATCCGGAACCTGCCTCTAGATCCGAGAGGAAGAAGGTGCAAGACTGTCATAAGCAGCTGCCCAAAAAGCCCAAGGAATGGTGGGACGCGAAACCGGACCATCGGCCGCGGTCCAAGAAAACGATGAATGCCCAGCCATTCGAGTTTGACATCCCAGAGCACCTACCGAGCAGCCCGATGTGTCCGACAAATCCCAAGCATCCTTCCGGTGGTAAAGGGATGTGCGTCTATCATGGTAGAAGGAGAGAGGGTTCGCTGCTTAAAGTTGGGCAGACTGTGAATGACAGGCGTCAGGGATCAGAGGTATCGATCACCTCCGAAAGAGATAACAGAGAGTGAGAGTGTTTGTTGTCAAAGGTCTGAGCTATTATCCGATTCATAACCTAGAGAGCCCATTCACTCCTTACTGCAGTGCTGCGTGCATCATGTAGTTTTGGCGACAGGCGGACCCCATTGTGGCTTTCCAGATGGTGTGGCGTAGGTGCCAGGGGTCTTATTGTGGCTGGTGCATCTAGCTAGCAACAGCTGTGAGGCTGGTCGCAACCCCAAAATTCGACGCTGCCATCCTTACCTTCACCAGCACTCGTCGCAGTCAATTCACCTCAATTCTACCTGGTTATAAATATCGCGCGTCGCAATCCGACCGCAACTACTGTGGATACCCTACTGTTAATTACCAACGCTGAAACTCTTCACGATGGCTGCCGTTGAGCAGGACCCTCTGCTCTTGCTGCGCCAGTCGATCGCATCCAAACGACCTGCGGTTCCGACAGCCTCCTCTGATGCCTCAGCGGCCGAGGTTCCTCTTTCCAAAGCTACACATCTGCGCTTTTCGCACCCGTCGACCGTATCGGTGTCTCTGGATACTCCGACGCGCTTCATCTCGAGCGACCGTCCCGTCGACCTTCGATCCATCTACTTCGCCTGGCTGAACAAGGACGTTGCCATTCCCGAATACAATGCCAGCGCGACTCGCCTTAACGAGGAGCTGGGAAGTCTTGGAACTGTCCAGAACCTCGCGTTCGTCGAACGTCTAGACCTGTTCACCTGGCTGGAAGGCGCTAGTGAAGAGAGTGAGCATATCAAGCCGGTGGCTGGCGACAAGGAGGGCAAAGAAGGTGCTGGCGCAAGCGCGTCCAAAGCTGCTCCTGCGGCTGCGTCGAGCAGAGCTGGACGCGGAACGCTGGATCCCAGACTGGCCGTCATCTACAACGGAGAGCGAAAGATGGGTGACCGCAACTCCATTCTGCGCGGTGTCAAGCCTACAGTGAGTCGCATGTGTGGCGATGTCCCCCGGCATAGACTGACAGATTTCACAGGACTTTTCCCACGTCCGCAAGCTCGCTGTTCCATTCATCCAAAAGAAGCCCCAGGGATCGTCAAACATCAGCTCCAACCCTTCCCTCGCACTCAACCCGAAGGCTCCAACGCGTCGCCCCGATCCTATCATTCTTCTCTCGCCGTCCGCCTCCTCGCTCTTACGACTGTCCAATATTCGCTCGTTCCTGGAGCAGGGGCGCTACGTCAATCCCGATGGTGGTGCTGCGGCCTCGAGTATGTTGCATGTGTCGCGCATCATGAAGGAGATCGACCCCTCGCGCCCCATGCGCTTCATTCTCGTCGAGGGGCCCGAGCAATTCAAGCCTGAATACTGGAACCGCGTCGTTGCAGTCTTCACCACGGGCCAGTCGTGGCAATTCAAGAACTACAAGTGGAGCAACCCACAGGACCTTTTTCGCCGCATCCAAGGCGTATACGTTGGCTGGCGGGGTGACCAGCCGCCTGAAAGTGTCCGCGAGTGGGGACACCGTGTGATGCACATTGGAGTCGACCGCTGGCGTGATGGTGCGGGTGCCATCGAGGCTGCCAAATTTAGAGACAAGGAGGCCTCTGAGGCTATCTGGAGGATTATTGAGGCCGGCATGAAGGCCAAGGGATGGTCGAAGAGCACTGCGCCCACTCTGCTGTAAAGAGGTGAGGTTGGGGAGACAGAGGAAGCTCAAAAATGCGGAGGCATGAGAATCTTCACATAAGAGAATGGGCGCGCTAAACAGAGGTGCATGTACCAACAAAAAACAGGGCTGGGGAAAGTAAAGTTCACAGCGACGGCGTTAAACGGGCTGATTTGTACAGGACAGAAGATTGGGGAGACAACCGACTTCTATGCAGCTCTATGGATAGGGGGTGCAATGAGTTGGTTCTGGTCATCCCAGATATTCAGAAAGGAGGTTGCTAAACGAAGCTTGAGGAACGAAACGGTCCTCTGTATTGAACCACAAACGTGCACTAAAGATTGATGTTGGAAAGAACACACAAAGATGAGACTGCGAGTAACAGTTATTCAATCGATTCATGTACTGCAAGAATCTAGTAATGTCAGGGAGACCAACATATGCCAACCGGCCGAGAACAGACCTGCCTTTGACACGGCCGATAGCTCCCGGCGCTTGGACCATGCCTACGATGTACGTACTAGTTAGCACCGCGTTCACTTCTGACGACGCGTCGGACCCCTGTCCCGTTGCTCCAAAATTCCCGATAGTAACCCCAGAAACCTGGCGCCAGCTCTACGGATAGTGAGACGTGCATCTGGCGGCGATTGATCCCAGGGTTCGACGTCTCACCATACCACTTACCAAGATTCCCAACCAAGCCATAAGATGGCCCCAAACGCCGGCTCAAGCCGCAAGCGCAAAGAGCCCGAGCTGCCCTCGTCCCTCCAGAAGAAGCGCAGACTGAACGACCTTTCGAAATCCTCTCCGACAACGCCAAAATCCACCCCTGGCGTCGGCTCATCGGCCGTCAAGAAGTTCAGCCGCAAGACCGCCCCGGCCGTCAGCTCTCCATACGAGGTTCCCGACTCCCCAGAGGAGGGCGCTCCTCCACAACGAATCCGAAACGTTCGAAGCGTGAACCGACCGACGCCCAAGGTCCCGATTGCCGCTCGTGGCCAGATCGATATCGATGCGTACGATGTGCCAGACTCCGACGATGAGCTGCATCTGAACCCCAAGGAGGTGAATGCGCAGAAGGCGAGCCCGACGGTGAGAAAGAGCGGTGGCGTAGCGAAGGCGGTCGTGCCTGAGCCGAAGCAGAAAACAGCTAGAAAACGAGTGCCGTCGCAGAAAGGTGCAATAAACGTAGTGGAGCTGGACCCGGCAGAGGAGGTTCCCACAACCGAGGAAACAGGTTTGAAGGCGCGCGCCAGTGGGAGGCGCAGGATACCAACGGCCAAAGTGTTGGAGGAGCAGCTGGGAGGAATCCGTTCCGGAACACCAGTGTCCCGTGCGACGTCGTCAGCAGCCGACGATGTCCAGGAGACGAAAAAGGCAGCCGGCAAGGCGGGTCGCAACGTTTCCATGCCGTTGAAGGGCATCTTGACGCCATCGAAGCGGGATGGAACGCCGAGGAGAAGCAAGAGCGTTGCTTTCGATAGCGAACACAGCAAGGAGGAAGTATTCTTTGAGGATCTGCCGACAAAGTCTGGACGAAGTAAGCAGACCCCGGCAAAGGCGACGCCGAAGGCTGCGAGTACGACAAAACCACGAAGGCCGGCCCCCAAAGCGGTTGAGGAGGAGCCAGTGGAAGAAGACGAAGAGGAACCTGAGCTCGAGGTCGAGGGAGGGCCTGCCGAAGAAGAGGAGGGATCGGAAGATGAGGATATCTGCGTCGTTTGTTCGAAGCCAGACTCAAAGGCGGGAAACAAGATTTTGTTCTGCGATGGGTGTGACCGGTGTTATCATCAAAAGTGCCACAATGTCCCGAGGGTTCCCAAGGGCGACTGGTACTGTGATGATTGTGTTCAGCAGAAGGAATCTCGGGTTTTAGCAGCGGGTGAGGTGGCCAAGATCCCCAACTTCGCACAACATCTGAACAGCATGAAGAGAGTGCTGCTCGATCGGTGTACGGGGCGGCGACGGATCAAGTTGGTTGATCAGGATGAGGCATATGAGAAAGCACACCAGCTGGTGGAGCAGACAGTGCTTGCAGGAGAGGGAAACTCGATGTTGGTGATCGGAGCCAGGGGATGCGGCAAGACCACGGTAAGCAACGCAAGAACATCACCCAAAAGAAGAAGACTGACGTCCCCAGCTTGTTGAGAGCATTGTCAGTGACCTGTCTTCACAATACAAGAAGGAGTTCCATGTGGTGCGCCTCAATGGCTTCATCCACACGGATGACAAGTTGGCTCTGAAGGAGATATGGCGCCAGCTGGGCAAAGAGATGGATGCCGAAGACGACATCACAGCTCGGGTAGGTCCACGTCGAACCGCTCAAAGATATCGAAGTATCTAATCCAATACCAGTCGAACTACGCCGACACAATGGCCTCGCTGCTGGCACTTCTCTCCCACCCGTCAGAACTGGCTGAGGCGGAAGAGGGGGTGACGTCGCAGGCTGTCATTTTTGTCATTGACGAGTTTGACATGTTTGCTGCTCACCCGCGCCAGACCCTGCTCTACAATCTGTTTGATATCGCGCAAGCACGGAAAGCCCCCATTGCGGTGCTGGGCTGCACGACGCGGATGGATGTTGTGGAAATGCTGGAAAAGCGCGTCAAGAGTCGTTTCAGCCATCGATATGTCTACCTGTCTATGCCGAAGAGTTTGCCAGCGTACTGGAACGTGTGCAAGCAAGGCCTTACGGTTGACGAAGAAGACATGGAATTGGAGGGGATTGATGTCAGCGTCGAGGGACATGAGGCCTTCTATGCAAACTGGAATGCAATGATCGAGGTAAGCGAAACCAGCGAGGTTGAGAAGCAAGCAACTAATCCGTGTCCAGGTGTTGCGCAAAGAGAAGTCATTTCAGAATCTCCTTCAGTGCCACTATGCCACGTCAAAATCGGTATCGGCGTTTTGGTCGGAATGTATCCTCCCGCTGTCCTCGCTATCGCTCGAAGCCCCAGACCTGGTCCTCCCGCCCCCGGCTGGGTCAGCGGTCTCCCTCAGACCACCAAACTCCAAATTGCATATCCTGCCTTCGCTCTCAGAGCTGGACTTGGGGCTGCTCATCGCCGCAGCACGCCTGGATATCGTGGCTCACACAGACACGGTCAATTTCGCCATGGCGTACGACGAGTACAGCTCCCTGATGGGCCGGCAGCGCGTGCAGTCGGCTAGCTCGGGCATGCTCGCCCTCGGAGGCGGAGTGCGGGTATGGGGTCGCGGCGTCGCCGGAACGGCGTGGGAGCGGCTGGTGTCTCTGGGTCTGCTGGTGCCCGCGGGCCTGGGCACCGGGCGGGCCTCTGGCTACGGCGGCCTGGAAGGCAAGATGTGGAAGGTTGACATGGCGCTGGAAGAGATCCCGGTGGGCGTAAAGCTGAACAACGTGCTGGCGCGGTGGTGCAAGGAGATTTGAACATGGGTAGTGGTGTTCGTCACCCATAGCATAGCATACCTAGCATGATACAAACAACCAAGTCACGGAGACGTGGCGCAACATGATACTCTACCTGACGAAATGACCTGACTTTCTGACTCTGACGGCACCAGTGCGCACTCATGATGGGAGCGGCCGACTGCAGAAGAAACTTCCGAGTGCGCACCAACAGTTTGCAGTCGTTGGAGCATGTCTTTTGTGGCAGCTGGCGCATCCTAGCGCCGCGTGGTCGGACGAAAGATGCTACGAGACTGCGGACGTTTGTTTAGAGCCACAGAGCGCACGCGTAGGTGCTTGTGCTAGCTATCCTAGCCTGGGATATGGCCTGTTTTTCCCCCGCGCAAATCAGTTGATACTTTAATGTGCGTAAGGTCCATCGTGAGATCCATGGCGGCGTCGAAAGCCTCTTTGACTTTTGGTCATGGCAGCCGAATTATCCGCAGCGTGTTGCATCTCAGTCAGCACTTAAAAGCAAATAGGTAACGATACCCGGTGGTGCGCTAGGAGTTTACGAGAGAGGGGGGGGGAGGGACTAGGAATTAAAGGAGACCCTGGCCCTGAACAAGTTTGCTCTCACGCACGTTATCCACGTGTTGCTAGGGATCTCGATTGGGGGGAGGGGAGACGGGCAGCGAATCTCCTCCCCCTCTTGATTTTGGAACTGGGGTGACGGATGAACGGAGGCAGCGATCCTCGAGGGTTAGGAAGGAGGCCACATGTCGTGAAACGAGTGATCGACGACGACGACGAGCCATCAGCCCCGGCAGAGGGTCTCGGGAGAAGGCGGTTTGGAAGCTGCTTGAAATAGGAGCATGCTGCGTCATGTTGCCTAGTAATCGTACAGCCAACAGATGGACATGACGAATGTAACGCTCTCGGGGCGAGGTGTTTCTTCCGAGACCTTCGGTGTGCTCTTTTGCCTGCGTGCCTTCCCCGATGAGATGGGATGACAGCGGCCGCCAGGAGGTTGAGAGACATTTGATGCAGAAATGATGGCAGCGGCCGACAGGCTTTTACGAGTCGACGTTTTGGGGGCATGCGCCAAGGGGTTTGGTGGGTTGGTTGGTTGGTTGGTGTAAGTACCTTACCCAAGTCATGGATGGTGCTCAGCAGGCAAACACGGACACGGTACTTTTGCAGCCCGGACACACCTGTTGGACTCAAAGTAGGCATTCGTACCTATGTTGGAGGCGTCGGCGGGTTCATGTCCGCATACCTCTGCACCACTCTGGGGACTTGTTTCTGTTTTCCTTCAGCTCGTAAAAGCGCGTCTCCAACATCGGACCGGGGGGAGCACTGGAGAGATTGAAGTGCAGCGCGGGCATGGCATGCATCTCAGCTTGGAGAGGTTCGGGCCTAGTGGGATCGCGGGGCGGTCTTGGATGGTAAACGATGGACCCAATGGCGGTTGTCGGAATCGGCTCCAGCATGCCACACCAGTGGAGCTGGCAGCGTGACCCACCAGGCATGGCGGCCGCCGCCACGTTGCGGCCTTGATTCCGCCCGTGTGTCTCCGCTGCTGATGGAGGGCACCAAGGGCAGTCCCTACCTAGGTATACCTGAGGCTGCTCCAGTGACCGTCGAGTGACTGCCGGGCCTGCGCAGCCAATCGTAGAGGTAGCCGACCGCCCAAGACCAAGACCTGTGGAGGCCGCAGTGCCGTACCGATCGCATTGTTGAGCCTCCAAAGTTTGCTATTGTTCCCGTCCCCGTCTTGGAAAGTCACAGGAAACAAGCCCATTCGGGGAATCAAGGCGCCCGGGACAGGCAAAAACGCCAAGAGAGAGGAAGATGGCATGCAATACCGTCTTGACAATCAATCCGGACGGAGGACACCCATTCACGTTAACCGAACCCTGGACAGACGCCTGCAGCAGCGGCCCTGGGAACCTGGAACTGGCTGGCTGGTGCCTTGGGGTTTGGGGGGAGGGGAGGCGGCCGCCGGCGCCCAGCGTCACTCAGCGTCACCCGAGCGAGCCAGTAAACTCGATCCTGTCCTGTCATTCCTCAACAGCACGCCTGACGGGCCCCCTTCGGAAACGAGCAGGACGACGAAAACTAACTTAAGGCAGACTGGCATCTCTTCCTCTTCATTCCCTTTTCACCACCCCTGCCTCCAGCTGGCTTTGCGCGCTCCTATTCTCGCTACCCTATCCACCTTGACTATTTCCTATTTCAAAGGAGAGCGGCCTGTCTTCCTTGGTTTAAACAACACCACCCCAGCAGCAATCTTTTCTCGTTTTACCTTACCTTACCCTACCTTACCCTAGGTACCTACCTACCTATCTCAAGGTGCCCGCTAAAGGTTCCCTTCCCAGGCTCTCAGTCCGGCTTCTTCAGCTTCCGGCAGGGACACCTCCACTGGGGGCTAAATCGGCTTCACCGCGCGACGACGCCACTGCCAGCGCTACGCCCCGCGGCTTGCTGCTGACCCGGGGGCGAGCTCCTCCCTCTGCGCCTCCGTCCTCCGTCCCCCGGCCGTAGATCCTACAGGCAACCTACCTGGGCACTGCCTTCGAACCACAAACGCACGCTTGCTTCACCGTCCCCCGACCTCGCTAGCAGCAACATTGACAGCTCGTTTCGTCATTGATAACCATCCCAGTCTCCCGATTGGCAAACTATCCCCTTCAAGATTTGCTGCTCCTGAAATCTTGTTCCATCCCAAGGAAAGCGGCCGTTCACCCGAACCTTACAACCTTAAACTCACCTCCCATCCTTCCCGCCCTCCAAAGTACCTACCTCCCCAATACACTTACCATATCCAAACTCGGTCTTGTTGCATGGTCTAGCCAGCCATCCGATCCCGACCCAACTTACCTCCCACCGAGCCCTCATCTTCCTCAACACGACCACCATGTCAAAACGCACAACCTTCACCACAATCTCTCCCCTGCCCACCGGCATAAGCCGCGAGGCCGTCCTGGACTTCCTCCACAACCACCTGGACATGATCGACCTGAACCCTCTCATCAAGGAACGCCACGTTATCAAGCCACCCGCCCACGCCCCTCCCGAAGAGCATTCTTGCGTCTGGTACTCGCTCACCGACGAGATATCCTACCTGCCCGGTGGTTTGGCCACGGGCGACGTCAGCTACACCTGCGCCTTTCACGACCTGCCCACCGGCCTGCAGACCCACTGTTACGCCCCGATGGGCCTGGAGATCCGGGATAAGTGGACCGTCGCCGGCTCGCTCCCGGGCGAACCCATCGAGCCCGTCGAGCTCGGCATCGGCGCTCCGCTGACCGGCCTGTACTTGCGCGAAGACGTCGACATGCGCTGTAACGTCTTCACCACCTCCTTCGTCAAGAAGACGCTCAAGAAGAGCCACGGCCAATTGGTCGAGCGCATAAAGTCCAAGATGCAGCAGCAACAGCAAGCTTCTCCTGCGCCCTTCACCTCTTACCACCCGGCGTCCACGCATGCACGTCACCACAGCCAGAACTCGCTGCACGGGTCGTATGTCTCCAACTACCGTTCCAACAGCCCGCCACAGATGCCTCCGGCACCCAACCACCCCGTTGCGAGCTATGCGACGCTCGGGAACCAGATGAGCCTGCCTTTCAGGCCATCATATAACAAATCCTTGCCGCCGCCGCCGCCCAACGATGGTGCCCAGAACTCATACCAGAACGCATACCCAAGACCACTCCACATCCGTCAAGTCTCCAGGGGAGCGCCGGCAAAGTCGCAACCCGGCGTCTTGAGCAACAACAACTGCTACGCCCACTCCGACTATTCTAACTTCGCCACCAATCCGTACGAAGTAAAGCCGCCGTCGCACTCGACCTCGTCGCCCTATGCAGCAGGCCTCCCTGACGGTGACGCAAAACGGCAACAGACAGGACCCTTTGTAGCCGAGCTGGAATGAGCCGCAGGTCGCGACGCTTCCAGCCGGTCCATGATCTGTCATTTTCTTCATGTGTGTTACCAGTTATTTATCGTAGCCTACGTGCGTTTCTTAGTTGATACCCCCTTTACTTCCAAACTACTTAGCAAAATCTATTGGCCAATCTCCGTCTCTCTTTCGCTTCATCCACCACGTCATATAAGTGATCGTGTGCATCGGTGCGGCACAGCAGCTTTCCGTGATTGGCAAACCGGGGGTCGGATTGTCCAATGGCATGTTATGCATCCCACCGCCAGTGTGACCTCGATGCAGCCAACAAGCACCTTGCTATTTCCCGGCTTCGTACTGTATTTTGGTTGAGTACTATAGTCGATGAACCAAACACTTCTTCGGGGAGACCAAATTCCTGCCACCTGCCGTCTGAAAGTCCCTTTTACTAAAGGCAGTAGTGAATAGTAGTATAAGGTTTTAGGTCAGTATTTGTATTTTCTCAACAAAGCTACCATCACAAACAAAGCAAGTATTTAATTTGAAATGTGTGTGTGTATTAGGTATAGGTAGTAAATGATACTCGACAACAACAAAAAACTCAAGAGACAAAGCCAGGAAGCAAAAGCCCCCCCTTCCCCCTCCTTTGGGAAACACGCGCGGGTGATTCTTTACAAAGGGAAAAAAAACGTCCCCTTTCATCCACTGCTGCGGCCAACGCCCATCCCCCAGTTTTTCTCCCGGGTTCCAGCGAAGCCGCCTGTCTGTCTCTCTCTACACACCTCTCTCTAAACAGTAATGTGTCTCCTTCCTCCCCTTTCGCTGCTAAGGAACCGCGTTCCCCCCCGTCTATGTCTGCTCATCTCTGGGCATATCGGCGTCATAAAAAAGGGTGACATTAAAAATGAACAACAAAACAGGACGTGAAGATGGAAATCCAGAATGCAGATAAGAATGATGATGATGTTGATGACGGACAACCACCGTTTCGTGTCGTCAGGCAATGTTCCTTGTTCGTCGCCGTCCACACATGAACACGTTTCGTATCGTTGGGATGTCTGAGAGGAAGGAAGCGATTCGGCAGTTGACGAGAGGATGGAGAACTACTTGTGACGGGTGGTTGGCAAGGGAGGCTGTGGTGGCAGAAGGCGCAGGAGCGCATTGGGACACTGGCTTCGATGCCCACACAACCCCCTTTCGACCGACCCGTCAGACGCCGTTGTCTTTCATCCATGTCTGCTGTGCTGTGGATTGAATCGCTCTCTCAAGACCGCGAGAACACACGAAAGCGAAGGCCATGTTGATGATGTGAGGAGTGGAAAGAGGTTGATTGAATTTGACAAACGGAGGATGGGAAGAGTGGTGGGTTTGGAAGAGGGCTGCCCCGTTTACAGAGCGAAGACGGCGACGGCACCGGCGATGAGGGCCAGGGAGCCGGCGAGGGCCGCCTGCTTCTCGGCGCCGGCGACGACGACGTGTGTGGGGCAGGGGGCGCCGCCGCACTCGGTGCCGTTGCCAGCGCCGCCGGGGGTGCCGGGGGTGCCGGGGGTGCCGGGGGTACCGGGAGTGCCAGGAGTACCCGGGTTGCCAGGGGAGCCGGGAGTGCCGTTTCCGCCGTTGCCTCCGTTCCCTCCGTTGCCTCCGTTGCCGCCGTTTCCTCCATTGCCGCCGTTTCCTCCGTTGCCGCCGTTGCCTCCATTTCCACCGTTGCCGCCGTTGCCTCCGTTGCCTCCATTTCCACCGTTGCCAGCGTCACCGCCCTCACCACCGGGGGTGGCAGGGGTGCCGGGAGTGCTGGGAGTGCCAGGCGTACCGGGAACGGCAGGAGCGCTGGGGGCAGGGCCGGGGGCGCCAGACTGGCCGGGAACCTGGGGAGGAACCGCGGGGCCAGTGGGCGCGGGGCCCGGGCAGGGGCTGCCGCCGCACTCGGTGCCGGGGACGCCGGTCTCGACCGGGGGAGCGGGGGCGGGAGGGACGACGCCGGTGGGGTAGTAGCCGTGGTCGTAGTTGGTGGTCTAGCAGGCAAGCGTTTGTAAGTCATTGGAAACAGGCAAGAAGCAGAAGGGGCGGGTTGACTCACGTAGACCTCAGTGCAGGGGCAGTCGGGGATTCTGAAGGTGGTGGGCTTGTCGATCTTGTAGGTGTGGTTGTTGAAGTACAGGGTGGTGGGCTCGGGGCACCAGGTCTCGACCTGCTGGTGGACGCGGGTCAGGGTGACGATGGTGCCGTTGACGATGGCGAGGCTGCCGTCCTTGTGCTTGAAGGGGAGGTGGTTGGGCTTGGCGGCGGCCGTGGCGGCGAGGGCGCCGATGGTGACGAGGACGGATTGGATCTGCATTTTGATTGATGTTGCTGTCGTTGTTTTCTTGATGATGCCAAATGAGTGGGCGGGAAAGGCGAGTGAAAAGGAACGTGTGAGAGTCTGTCGAGCTCGTGAGAGGTGGTGAGTGGACGACGATAAGATTATAAGACTCTTAAGGAGATGTGTGTGAGTTGCGCCTTGCGGGTTGTAGTTGGGTTTGAGTGAGTGTGATTGGTTTATTAAGTGAGTGACTAGGGCCAGATGGAAACCAGAAAAGCAAAAAGGAGGGAGGGGGAGGAAAAACGAGGACAGACAAACGAAAGCCTGTGGTTGCCGACTGTTGGTGAGTGTGTGTGAGATGAGGAGGATAGCACATCGTCAAGCTGAAGAGTCGGCCTCTCTTTATGCTGCCTCTCCCTCACAGGCCTTGGCAGGCTTCCAACCACGTTCAGGGGGCGCCTTGACTGACGAGCTCGAGCGATGAGAGACACTGAGGAACAGAACGAGATTAGAACGATGCCCGACCTACACTGAGACAGAAGCCTTCCATCCAATGGGGTCCCGCGAGACGACGGGCCGGAATGTCGGTGGACCTCCCGGGTCCCGTGTTTGTTGTGGCCGCCGCGGCGCCAAGAATGTGGGAACCGGCCGCCGGAAATGTGGCGCATTCCAGACGTCAGGGGCAAAAGGGCCGCCGGTGAGACGTTTTAACCATAACGGCATCAAAGTAAACAAACGGTCATGCTTTTCCCGATTCGAGGCTCTTCACAGCTCATCAAACGCACATTCCCAAGGGATCGGTTTTGAATACCACTTTCATCTGCTTTCTCTCATTCAGGGTACGTCGAAGGGTTGAGCGGCTTTCCCCGACCCGGGTCGGGAAGCGCTGAGATATGTACAGTTGAGTCAGGCCGCTCGACGACCGCTCCTCCTCCCTTATTTTGCTTTTCCCCTTTGGTTTGTCCGTCCCACAGCAGCCGCTCACTTTTTCTCTCATCGTTCTCTTCTCGTCATGTTCCCACGTGTTTGTCGCATCCCGGCATGCCAACCGAGGGCATCCGGGCGGGCCTTTCGCCTCGTCCTCCACTCTCACGCCAACAATAATCGTTCGTTGGTCGCCTGTAGCTTCGTCTCGCGGATCGTGGTCGAGATTCGTGCTTCCATGCCATCCTTCTATGATCATCCGCCCCGCCAGCCAGCTATGATTCAAGACAAGATGGAAAAAAAAAAAAATTAAAAGGGAAAAAATTGGTAACAAAAGCGAAATCCGCATGTGATGATGATGACGTGATCATGTTCCGCGGAATCAGTTTCGCCGACTCATGGGGTCTCTCCTTCTAAGAATATTGTCCGTCCCCAACGCCGTCATTTCCAAAAGAATCCAGATGGCAGAAGATCGGCCCGACTCGGGCCTCTCCGAGAAAAGCAAAAGATCCTGCCCACCGCCTGGTAATGAATCAAAGACCACCATGTATGTATGCACAAGATTATGGTTTGTGGGTAAAGTGCCGTAAATGCCATCGGGGGGGGGCTGCGCAACCAGCATCGACGAGGCGAGATTCTAAGCGTGCAAATCATTCGAGTCGCAATGCGAGATGTGCAGAAAATATCGCCTTCACTGTCGGTTCGTTGCGGTGTAGGCCGTCACTGACAATCCGGAACATGGTTTATTTGCGGTTCGATCGGCTCGTGCTGCGTTCTACACCACGGCCGCCGACTGAGTCAAAGTCGTAGTTCTTCAGAGTGTGCTCGTATTTTGGGCTCCTCAGGAATTTTGGCACCGAGTCCTGTAACAAAGTGGGGTTAGTCATCGGGCCAAACATGCCGGGTTGAGTTGTGAAAGGAATAAACTTACGCTAGCCATCAACTTGAAAACTGCGTTTTGCGCATCCTCAAAAAGGGACATGACTTCTTGCAGAGTATCGATCATGGCGACGTCTTGGCCAACGGCCTTGGTCATGCGAGTGGCCAGGTTGTTGCGAAGTTGATGATCAATGTTCAACTCGCAGGGAGATCCGGGGGCGAGGAATGCATTATAAATCCCATAGGCCTGCGCCATGATCTCCTTGATGCCGTCCATCGAGTTCGCGTTGGGGTTCTTCTGGGCGACCCTGATCGCTTGTCGGCAGCTACGGACGAAGTCGTCGACGTCCAGGTAGAAAGACAGGTTCTCCTCGCAATGCGTTTCTCTCAGATTTTCCCTGAACAGCAGACGCAGGGCAGCGTCGTTGAGGATCTTGTCCAACCTCTGGGTGTTGGAGTCTCTAGCAATGACGTTGCGGGAAGAAGCCGGCGTGGCGGCTTCGCTCTCCGATGTCCGTCCTCTCACGCCGATACCGTTAATGAGGTCCTTGCCCTTGGCCGTCAATTGGTAGACGGAGTGCTTGGTGGGTTGGAACAGGTTGTTGCTTGGGTACTGTGCCATGTGTGCCCGATCCTGTACCACGGGTTCAATGAGGTCGTACTCCACGAACAAAGACGCAATGTCGTACGTCTCCCGACGGTCTACGGTTGTACAGCAGTCCATCAGCCAGTCAGTGGCAGCCTTGCCGGTGAAGGTGTCCTTGTATGTCTTGCCGTTGACCTTGCGCTCGCTAGCCATCTTGACACCGGTAAGACCATCCTTGTAATCGCTCAAAGAGTCAGAGTCGGCTGAGCTGACGCTTGACTTGACGTTGGGGCCGTGTGCGCCGATGAATCTCCTGAAGATGACCTCGATGGTGCCACGGTC